ATCAATTATAACTGTTGTTTTGAGTAAGTGTGGGTTTAGAATTTTAAGATACTTGATTTGGTTTTCCTAAGTGAAGACTATTTTTATTTGAAGTAGTCTAAGGAAGCTTCCAAATTATAAGGTAAATAGAATAATTTAGTAATTGGAAATACACAGAGACTTAAGTATGTACTCTGAAAATAAATGTTGATAGAAATGTCTAATTGGTAACTATTAGATAGATCATTAGAGTCATGCAAATAGTGGTAAGGACTCAGAAAATTTTAATTCCTTAGTTTTGTTTTCTAAAGTTTAGTTTGCCTTTTACCTAAATTTCTCCTATGTGATGATAATTATATACTTATTCATTTGTGCAGTTTTGATAGGAAATGGAAATAATGATAAAAGTGGAGGATAGTTTGAGCAAAATCACTTTAACCATTTTGAAACATTGGGAGATAAGCAGAATGAGAACTTACTAGGAGATTCCAAGAACAAAACAAAGGAATAAGAAATCTGCTGCTGCTGCTTTTCAAGGTGAAGTAAATGAATTCCAGTCAGGCAGAGGACATGTGGACATCTTATTTTTGTTTTAGAGGAGCTTAGTTTCATAAGCGCACATTGGAAAACTCATAGAAATACTGTAATGTGAAGCAGACATGACCCTATATTGCGGAGAAATTTTGATTATTTTCTTATTGAGTTATGCTTGTTTTATAAAGTGAACAATTCCAAATAAAAGATAACATTTTCTTAAATAATAATTATTCTAGTAAATTCAATATCTATTTCGCTAAACGATATGCTTCTCTAGACATTGATTCTTCAGTAAAATAGTTTACTCTTTCCCCCTAAAAGAGAATGTGTCTCTTCTTAAAATGAACTTCGATTAACAGGATCACCTCTGCCAACTCTACCAGTGGCGACTCGGTCGGCACGCGATGTTTCTGCTGCTGTGGAGGTCAAGGCTGGAAGCAACTGGGAGCTTTTCCTGAAGGCTGCTTTGCCTTTTTAGGTTATGAGGGTCTCTCTGTGTTTAGGATAACATGATTGACAACTCCACTCCAGTTCCAATTAGCACCCTATAATTTATTAGCTTCTGCTTTCAGGTTATGCGTTAACTTCACAAATATTTCAACCATGGAAACAGCAGCTATCAAGTGTCTCTTTCCTGATCCAACCCTCTGGGACTAGAGTGAAATACAAGGAAAGAGCAGTACAGTTGGTCTGTCAAGTGAGAATAATCATTTATGTCTGTGCCTGTCTGAGGGCACGGTGTCTCTCATTACTCTTTAGACCCGTGTGTGTGTGTGTGTGTGTGTGTGTGTGTGTGTGTGTTGTAGATAGATGCTATTGTGCAGATACTGTACTTGTATTATTAGAGTTTCATTTATTCATGAGACCAAGAAGAGCTGGTGTGGAGAAAACATGAAATTTACATTTGCTTAACTCAGCGGTTTGTGTAAGTATCAAAACTTCAGTTATATACAAACAGCAACTGCAATAACCATACTGCCTTTAATAACCATGGTGCTATTTCTTTTCTCCAGATTTTAGGAATATGTAATAGGTAATGAATAATAATAAATCCTAAAAATCTTGCAAGGAGGAATGAAATATAGAGCAAAGACTTTGACAAGTACAATCAAAAAGTGAATTCTTTGCATGCAAATTACCAACAGACTGTTAAAGCAGTTTTATAAAAGAATCATATGTTTTCCAGTTTCATTTAAAAAGTCTTTTCAAATATCTTTCAGTTTTTCTTCCATGCTTTGACACCTAATGAATTATATTTAAAAATGCAATTTAAGGAAATGGCATTTATATGAAAGCAGTTTGTCTAAGTTTTATTTTTTATCTCCTCGAACTCCAAAGTAACCAGTCACTAAGTGTTAAAAAAAAAAAAGCTTCTTGTTTATTTTGATGGATGTATGGGTGCATCCATGTAGGAGCAGGGTTTGGGATTTTAAACAAATCTGATGTTAAGGTTACCTTAAGAGTTGTTTCCCTCTGATGCAAAAGGGCAGAGAAAATGCAGTACTTACCCAGAAAGAGGGGCAGGAGAAGTTTGCAGTCAGGGAGCCTGAATCCCAACACCCACCAACTCTGCCTTCCCTCCCATCCAGGCCCAAATCAATCTTAAGTCATTGCTAGAATTTGCCACCCATTGAAATAGAACTTCAAAGGGGAAATGAGACAGGATGGCAACTCCTTTTAAATTAAAGCAGTAGAACAGATAGAGTTCCCAGTAGTTGGGTGACTACGTTCTCAGCCAGAGGGCAATCGGCAAAAGGATTACTTGGTGGTGGAGAGCTGTCTCTCCCCTTTTCATCACCTCTCCTTTAGTGAAGGCCAAGTGCAAAGGAAAAACTGGGTGAGGAGGACACCAGTGCCAATGGGGATGATTAGAGGAGATTTGAATCTTTCTCTCAGGCCCCTAACCAGGTATAATGTATGTAAAAATGTCATGTTTGCCTTTTCTGATGCCACCCTTTTCTCCTGTCTCATTTCCTTCAATGTCTTATTTTTCAACTACGAGGGCCTTCTCTAATCTGCATAGTTTCATGAATATTAGCAAACCAGACAGAGGAATTCATATTGTGCATGACTTGGTGGGCATAAAGGATGTCAGTTAGGGCTATTAGTTCACTGAAGTTCTCTTTGATGCTCTTCTCACACAGGCAGAAACATTAGAGTTTGAGGTCATCTTGCATTTCTGTTTAGGAACATATGACATGGAGGGAAATGCTCTTCTCCACGTGTCCTATGTGCCAGGTCACTGGAGCCCCGCTCAGCAACCTGGATGGTCTGTCCAGGACTGCCCCAAAGGCCAGCTCCAGTGAATGAGTCTCCTCACCAGCAACCTGATATTCAGATCAGATGCAGCTCAGGAGAGAGGTTTCAGTAATCAGAACCTCACCACTGGGAAAACACTCCCTGTGAGTGTTGATCAGAGAGCTTGTGAGTGCTACTGCAGGTGGAGCACAGGGAAAGAGCCTCTCTCCATGGGGACTGCTTGGGGAAGATGTCTAGCAGAGTACTCATATGTACTGCTGTGCTTTCTGCTTCTGCTGCATACTCAGTGGCAGCTTCTAAAAAGCAAGCTGGAACTTAATGCATTTTATTTATGCTTGTACATTGCAGTAATCTATGCCAATGGAACATGGATTTTAAAAATCCACAGAGAAGTCCAAAGTTAATTTTAGTTATTGCCTCAATGTTCAAACCTCAGGCTAACTTTTACATGACTTGGTTGGGTTGGGTATGAAGAGCTTCAGAGCCCTGAAGGCTAATTAAATACTGAAAGGAATTAATAAGAGAAGCAATAATAATTCCCTCTTGGAGAAGAATGGAAATCTTCCTCAGGCTGACTGGGCTACAGGTAGTGGCATCTGATGAAGGAGTATGGACAATGTCCTATGATGGCTCCTTTGAGACCTGGGTACTTGTAAGTTCTACAGTGTGTCAGTGTTTGCTGCTCTGACTCTCCCCTTCCTTATTCATCTATTGGGGAGGAGAACTGAAGCCCAAAGTTGAGAAGCTAAAGACAAATCAGAGGGAGACAAGCAGTTACTACAGTAGCTAACAGTGCAGTCTCTGCACCTGGGCTGCCTGGGTTGGCATCCTGGCTCTGCCACTTAGGAACTATGCAACCGGGAAAATTATTTGTCCTCTGGGAGCCTCAGTTCTTGTCAATAAGAAGGGGATCCTAATAATACATATCACATGGAATTTTTGTGAGGCGTCAGTGAGTTGACCTATATGTAAAGCCCTCAGACTAGTGCCTGGCGTAGGGTAAACAATTAACATTAGTTTTTACTATTGTTATCACAACCAGTGCAGCATAATCATATAGTGCCTTCCATCTGAGCAAACACAGTAGTAGGTCCCTGTGATGATCATAATCTACTTCACAGCTACCAACATGATAGGAAGATGGGAAGCTATGCTCTGAGTAAGGCCCATTAACTGCCCCCAACTCTTGAGACTATTGTTTATATTTGCCTCTCATGTTACAATGAAGGTCAAGATTTGAACTAATATTTTTATGCTTTAACAATCTACAAGGGCAATTTGGGCATAGCAAAAAGTATCTCCCTCAGAGATGCATAAGTAACTTTGGCATCATGAGAAAATAAAGAGAAAGCCATTGATTTCTTACCAATCTTTTTTACTCTAGTGGTAGGTTTGGTTTCTTAGCCTAACTTATTAAGATATAAAAATAACCAATATTTCAAACATACTTTTTAACTGATGACTCTACTGTCTTAAGAGTCTAGAATTTAAGAAGTAACAGTAATTCTCTTCTGAAAAATAATAAATGTGTATCTGACCGAATGGTATATGGGCTAGTGTTTCCTGTACCATCTCTGCTTCTGACTCCATAAATGCTGCGAAAGAGGTAAGCCCTGGGCTTCTGTGGACCACAATTTTCTCATTGGTAAAAGAGAAGGGAGATACCTAACTTCTCATTTCCAGGGTTGATGTGAACGATAGAGGGGTTAACAGGTTTCACAGCACAGCACACACTTTGGAAAAACAAAATGTAAATACATATATATATATATATGTATATATATACACACATACATACATACACATACACACATATATATGATAAAGTAATATTATTTTATATAATATATATAACATATAATATACTTATATATTATATATATGCACAAAAGATCTTAAAGTAATATTATTTTCTGACATCAGATCATACTACTATAAATTATTTTATTCTACTAGAGAAAAACTAAGACATTTCTTTTCTTTTTATGAAACAACACAGCGACCTTGTAGTAAACAGACATCTTTAATGTTTGTTTCTTCTTCCTCATCACCTTCAGCTTTGCCCACGCACAGACCCCTTCCCCTGTCCCAACACTGAAGTGACCAAATCATGACCACAGAGACTGAGAAAAATATTCGAGGTATTGGAGACTCCATGGAACATTCCTTCTTTTTGGACTGATTCCTAGTTCTTCTTCATGGAAACAGTTGGGGTCCCTTGTTGCTTTTTTTTTTTCATCCAGAGGAGGATAGAGCGAGGATCAGAATTTGTGGGAAAGAAGGCAGAGAAGGGTTTCTTCTTTCATCGTAAAACGTTCCTTGTAAAAAATATGATATATGTACACACGCATATAAAATATATCCAGTGCAATTGCAATTGTTGTGCCAAACACTGGGAAGTGCCACCTTGGTCGATGTATTTCTGGAGTTTTAAACAGTTGTCCTACAACAGCTGCATTTCAGTAAGACTTGGGCAGGTGGCTCCAGATAAGCCACTTGCCACTCACATTCAGGCTGAGGCTTCCATGTTCACAATCCAAAAGAAAAGTGTGTCTTTGTGTCTGGAGGGGGGTTGGAGGGAGGGAATGAGCAGGAAGGGAGCTGGAGGCTATTTAGGTGAGGAAGAAGGAATTGGCTTCTTTTTCTCTACCACAGTCTTCGATGCAAATACAAATACATTTTAAATCTGAGGATATTGACATCAGTAGTGCTATGATCACACCACTTAATGAAATAATTCACATCAGCATAAAAAATATTCACACCAAAAAGTCTCTTTTTTTTCCCTCCTTCCAAGAAAACTTATATCACCTAAGTGATCTGACCAGAGATATTTCCAGTGATTTGCCCCCAAAAGTCGTTAAACGTAATTCAGAGTCTTTGGATGTGTTCTTTCGGCAGAAGGAATTATTTTTAGATGAAATTTCTGAGGTGCGTGTTTTGGTTTTCCTGACACATGGAGAAGTTTGAAGTCTCTGCCTTCCCCCGTGTCCTCATCCTTGAAGTGAGAGGCACAGATGCTGAGCCTCCTGGCTGCTCAGAAGGGAAAGGGAAGGGGGAAGGAACCCTGGGTCAGCAGATCAGCTCAGGAGGGATGCACCACAGAGGGAATAACGACGAGCTGCAAACCAAGATCAGAAGCCGTTACAAACCCACTCCATTCAGCTGAGTGTCAGCAAGTATGCTAGGCAGAGACCTACAGGGAAGAAGGTGGGTTGTCTAAAACCAGTACAGATCCTTGCTTTTGTCCTGAGGCTGTAAACCTGAAAGCACAGAGAAAATAAAAGAGAGAGAGAGAGGGAGAAGAGACAGAGAGAAGGAAGAGAAGGGGTGGGGAGGGAAGGCACAAGATATTTAAGGAAAGACAAAGACAAACACCTCCGTTTTATTGTAAAAGTCACAGAATTCATCTAAAGGGCACGAATGAAAGTAAAAGCAAAGCCAACAGAAATATCACACCTTCATCTGGGGTGGGGGGGAGTGGGCAAGGCTACATGCCAATAACTGCATTTACAACATAACTATTTTTTCATTTGTCCTAAAACTAAAGCCAAGCAAAAAGGTAAACCCTTATTTGAATGCACCTTTCAAATTCAACTCTTTAACCATAAAATTATCTTTGAAATTATATTCTTAAGTTTTACATTTTAAGAGATCTATCTAATTTGGCAATTAAGTTGGTTTCAGAGTCATATTTTTCTTCCCTTATAAGTGTCATTAGGTGACAAAACACCCCTGTCCCCCAGCTGTAGAGGATTTTAAACTACTCTCAGCAGGTACTCCAGACCAGGACAGTCAAGTAGAAACACAACGGGAGCCATAGGCAAAATTCTAAATTTTCTAGCTGCTGCATTGAAAAAAGTAAGAAGAAACAGGTGAGAATCTTAGTGATATATTTTATTTAACCCAATATGTTCAATATTCAATGTGTTGAAAATAATTCAACTTGCAGTCAATATAAAAATATTAGTAAGATAAATTTTACTTTCTTTCTTTCTTTTTCTTTTTCTTTTTTTTTTTTGGACAGTTTTGAAATCCAGTATGTATTATACACTTAAAAGAACATACTATTCAGCCTAGCCACATTTCAAGTGCTCAACAGATACACGTGGCTAGTGACTACAGAACTGAACAGCACAGAGCTAGAATCTAACAAATTTTATTTTTAAAGAAGTCCTGTGTAATATTTACCAGCCAGGGTAGGGCAGGGTCCTATTTTCTCATTCTGCCCCCACCGATGACACAGGGTCATCTGTCTGCTGAGACACACCCCGCCACGCAGACCTTCGAGCCCCAGGGTCACTGGGGTCTCCAAGGAGAACTAAGGGGGTCCAGGGCTCAGTCCAGGGTGGGGCACAGGGCAGGAAGGGCCTGGGTCGGCCAGACTCCCTCTCCGGCTTACCTGAATCCACGGTGAGGCCCAGACCCTGGGCCACGTCCCCGGCGGGGCTCGCGAAGGGTCCCCCGGGCGCGGCCCACGCTGCACCAGTCGGTTCGCCCTTGGCCGAGAGCTCGCAGGGCGGGCTGCCGGGAGCAGGTGCCGGGGCGGTCGCAAGGCGGGCTGGGCGCCCGGAGGCTGCGGGCATCAGCAGCGGCCCGTAGCGCGGATCGAAGTGCGGCGCGTAGACCTCGTGCACCGCGGCCGGCCGCGGGTAGGTGGCGGCCTGGGCGCCGAGGGCGCCGCCCAGAGCGTAGGGGTGGTGTGGGTGCGGGTGCGCGTGGTGCGGGTGCGCGTGGTGCCAGGGCTCTGCGGCGCCCTGGTGCAGGTGGCTGTGCAGCGCGGCCGGCGAGTACGGATCCGCGGTGGCGAAAGGCAGCTCCGAGTGCGCGGCGGCCAGCGGGCTGCCCAGCGGCGCGGGCACCGGCGCCTGATATGCGCTATTCCAGAAGGAGGCGGGGAAGCTCCGCTGGCTCATCGGGAAGGAGCCATCTGTAGGCGGGCGAGCCGGAAGGGAGGAAAGGAAAAGAGGAGCGTGTCACCGCCGGGAGACTCGAATGCCAACCCCGCAAGGCCGCGGGAGAACTGAAAGCTCAGGACTGGGCTATCGGCGGGAAAGCAGCGGCCGGGGGACGGACCTGCAGCCTCGCCTTTGGGGCGGCGTCTTTCTAAGGGAGCTTGCAGCCTGTGAATTCGAGGTCAGGGCACCGAAAAATGGGGAACCTTTCGGGGAGGAGATTCGCTTCCTCGGATTTTGGAAACATGTCTTGTACGCAAACCCAGGGACTGGAGGGGAGAAGAAGAGCGGAGAGACCTCCTCCCCCAGCCCCAGCTTCACCTGACGGCAGGCTGAACTGCCTCCATGGCCTCAGGGCAGACACGGCCTCCCTTTCCCAATCCGCAGCCTCTCCTCAAGCAAAGATACCTCTTCCCACTCTTGGTCGGCCGCCTAGCGATCTCACTACCCCTTCTCGCGTTTCAGCCTCCCTTGCTCTAGAAAATGTGCCTCTGATAGACTAGAAGTCCACTGACATATTTCAAAGTCTTGCTATTATTAGCCTCCTTTCTAGAAAACTTTCAAATTTTCCCCCCAAGAACTCAAGCAAAAGAGTAAACTAGAGAGACTAAAAGAACAGCTGTATTATTTGCACAGAGGGACATGAAGGGAAAGCTCTTCTAAGCTTTAATTAACAAACTTTCTGCATCAAAGTGTCAGTGCCCCACATAATAAATTATTATTATTATTAATGATTAGTACTGTCAGTACCATTGTTGACCCCTAGTGCCTGAAAGCATTTAGATCAAATTTGTTGCCTTTTGTGAGGAGGGAGGGAAAGACATTGAATTCAAGAGGCTTTTATTGAGCACCTCCGAGGAAGGCATCTGCACACATACTAGAGAATTTTAAATTCTTTTAAAATGCATTCAAAGTAATGAACAGTCTTCCTATTAAAAATATTTAGGCAACTGGAGAATAAAAAGAATGTTCTGTATTTAAAACTAATGTTTTTGGAGCTTGTCTAGGCAAGGCTTGTACAATCTGTCAAACTCAAGAGAAAAAAAAAGGGAGGGTGAAGGTCATTTCCCCCAAAATGTAATATTTGTTTTCCTTTTTACAACAAAGTTCTAAGTTTTCAGCTTGGTACACATCAAAAACTAAGCTTAGTGAGAAAGTTGACCAAATAGTTAACCCCACCCTTCTCTTGGTAATAAAGGGAGGTTGAAATTTCAGAATAGGAGGGAGATTTAGTTGTCTTGTCCAAGAAATCATTGTGTGGGGCTAGGTAAAGCTGTGCTTTGTGGGAAGTGTAGAACAATTGAGAGGGATGTGTTTTGAGGAAAACCCTTAGAGATGTTTTGGCTGTACCTACATTCTTATTTCTTTGTTACTTTACTTGCTTATTGAAAGATGTTTTCTGCTTCAAGATTTCCCAAGTAATTGAAATTTGACAAAAGGCACAGGCAGGTTTTAGGAGACATTCATCAGCAGGTTTTGCTTGCAGTGGGGCCTAGGACTTTTCGTTCTGGGTAAATTTTCATAAACTGGGTAAGTGCCCTGTAAGTTGTAGTAGGCAAAGGTTCTCCTCCCCACTGGCTTGGGGTAGTGCTCAAAATCTCACATTTCCACAGCACATTTATATTATTCTGTTTGTCTTATCACCATCCCAGGGATAGTTAAGAGGGCAAGTATTATTCTAATTTGAGACTAGTAAATAGAGTGACCTCAAAGAGGTTAAAAGATTTGCCCAAGGTCATATTGCTGGGGAGTGGTGGAGCCAATAGGCAAACTCAGGCCTCCCCATTCCCAGGCTAGTGCTTTTTTCTAGGTCTCTGCTTCTGCTCTGCTTTTCTCTACCTCTTGGAGGAGAGATCTTATGCCTGTGCCTATTCCTCCTTCGATTTCCTTACCTTCCTTAAATGCCCCTCCTCACCTCTTCGCTGACATCTAGTATTCTTTCCGCTGCATCTCCTTGAACCCCAGGCTGAGAGGGCTCCCTATCCGCCCTTGCCAGTGGGGCCGCATACTCACCCCGCCAGGGCCCGGAGCTCCGCGGTACTTTGCTGCTTGTACAGCTTGGGGAATAGCTGCTAGGCTGGCTCAGGGCCCTGCTGAAGTGCTCGTCCACCACGGAGCTGATGTCCCCCTGGAAATAGGTGAAGAGGACGCAGCGGGAGTTGATGTACTCCGCCTCTGGTGGGCGCTCTTTCTCCGGGCTGCCTTCTTCCTCTTTTATACTGGCCGGAGTTTGGCTGGAAAAGGACGAACTGCCGCTGCCGCTGCTGTTGCTGGGGCTGGCGTTGCATTCGTGGGCTTCCTGCATTTTGGAGTAATAGGCTAGTTTCTGCTCAAAGAGAGAAAGAATAGAGAAGTTAATTTCAACAGCGATGTCAAATTGGGGTCATACTGCACTCCCTCATCCGATCCCTAAGGTATCCAGGGGGCAACTTTGGCATCTGTGCCTAAGCCGGGTGCTGAATAACGTGGGCTGCGCCGTCAGCAGGCCTCTCAGCCTGCAGGTGAACAAGGGCGGGCTTACTAAGAGGCACGTTGCCCTTCTTGGTGCCTCTGCCACCCACAATTACTGCGAGGCCACAGGGAAAGCTCTCTGAAGGTTTCAGGGTCAAGGTCCGAGAAAGACGCCTAAGCGGTCCGGGTATGAATTGAGTTTGACCGCAGAGCCAGGCTCAGGACAGACATATTTTTAAAATCGGGCTCGAAGGGTAAAGGGCACCTAAGTCTAGTTAGGGTCTGACTGTTCCCTGCCTGAGAATCCAGGGCAGATGCCTAAGATGCAGGATTAAGCATCCTCATGACTAAACACGAAAATATAAAAAAATCCACTGCACACAACCAGGCTGTAAAGGCAGAACTGCCACAGAAGGTTTGAAATAAATCCACCTGGGACAGAATCATGTGGGGTAAAAAGGTGGAATAACATCGCAACATGGATCATTTTAAGAAACACAAGTTGATAGTTGGTCACCCATACACTGTCCATGTCCAGCGCGTCTCAGTTTTTAAAGAAATCTTTTGAGTAAAGGAAAACCAATGGATTATGAGAATTTCCACTCTCACCATCTCTGTACACATTGAAGTAATAAGTAATAAAAAGGAGCAGCTGAAGATCTTGGCTGAGATTGGGTAAATTGTGACTGTCTGGTAGTAACTTAAAAAACAAGCGTTGCTGTTGAAAACATTTTCTTAGAACTGAGCAATGAACTGAATGCAGTTTTAAAACTTCATGCCGGCAGAGATGGCCTTCAAGAGGGACACCGGGCCACACAAAAATGAACAGAGCTCTTAATGCAATAGATTGGTCCAGGGTCAGGGAGGAGAAAGGACCAAACAGAGAGAATCAACCCGTCTCTCTTTGCAATAGTCCCAGCGTGGGAAGAAGCTCATCTCAGACACTGAAGCCAAGAGTTATTTAGCAATATCATCACTTCTAGCACATTCCCACTAGGCTTACAATGAGGGACTCTAGTGATTCCTAAATATAACATTGAGACTAAACAAACTCCTGTTTGGGATGTTTAAAAAAAAAGGAGGGGGAGGGAAAAAGCAGAAGCTGCATAGACATTTTGAATTTGCAAGCAAAATTGATAAACGCATGGACTCCTACCGTCGGCGTGTTTTTCAATTTCCCGGAAACAGGAATCCAGGCCCTCATTTTCCAACCTGGTCCAATCTCCTACGCACCCCCCTCCCGATGTGATCTTGTTCTTTTCCTGGACTACTGTCCTCAGTTTCCACTACATCAGCTGAGGAAATGGAAAGAACTGCTCACCAGACACAGCCCAGAGAAAAGAGAAATAGGAATAATTAAACGAAACGTGAGTTTACAGAACCGAGGTTAAGTGGTCTTCTTAAAAGTGGGTTTGTTGATGGTAGGGCAGCCCTATTCAGCTACTCAAGTTCCTGAAAGGTGAAGTATTATCTATGAAGTCTGCCTCTGCCCAGTCAATTGTAGCCCAATAATATTCTCCAAAACTCTGCAAAACAGATTATAAAACCAATGCATTTCGTGAGGTTCCCTTTGTAACGAATTTTCTGGTTCTGGAATTATTTGGCCTGATCGCCTGAGAATTGGAACGGAAAAAATGTATGCCTTTGATAAGCTTGCAGAGATGAGAACGCAGGTCTTTGGATCTCAAACAGAAAGAAAGAGATAGACTTTTGCTTTTGTTGGGACCAAAGTTTGGTTTTCTGTGCGTGAGCTTTGCGCCAATCTCCCCACACCCGCACTGGGCTCCGGTTTGGGCAAATCTGGAGTCAGACAGACACTAAGAAAATCCAGCAGGCACGATCCCCGTCTGGTTATTCCCAGCAAAACCCGGGCAAGCATTAACAGGGCTTAGCTGCCTTCCCGAGAGAGCAAACGGGCAGGCTAAAGGAGTTAGCTCAATCTCACGGGTAGCAGCGCCGGCAATTACGGCATCCGGGCGGCGGCCGCCGCTGGTGGGACGCCCGGGGCCCGCGCGGAGGAGCCGTGGACCTCCCGGTATAGGCGGTGCTCGGAGAACCCTGAGCGCGCCACCCGTCTCCGAGGTCCTGGCCCGGAGGAGACACGTACCTGGTGGTAGGGGGTGTAGGCGGCTGCGAAGTAAGGCTGGGGAGGACCATAGACTTGGTACATAACATCCAGACAGCTCATGGCTCCCGGCAGCGGAGACAGTTAAGAGTTGTATCATCAACTCTCGGTGGGCGACGCACAGGGATGTTGCATGGGCGGCGCTTGGACCCGAGCTCCCGAGTCATCTGTGGCTGAGCCAGGGGCAGCGCGCTCGGCGGCTGGGGATCCCGCTCGCACGCTCGCCTCCCACCCCGACAATTCCAGCCCCGACCGCGCTCTGGGACAGACGCGCCTCGGCTCGGGCTAGTGGGCATTTAAACCCCACGCGGGGCGGGCGTGCTGACGCCACGCTCGGGTGGCGGAGAGGGAGAGGGAGGGTGGGGGGCGGGGACTGGGGGGCCAATGGGGAGCGAAGCACGAGGGCCCGAGGGGATGCGGGTGTGTTTCCCAGGGCTCCCCAGTGGCCAAGGGTGCGGCGAACTACGAAGCCCGGACCTTGAGCCCTGAGGCTTCGTGCCGTGAGGTACAGGGATTTCCCAGGCTAAAGCTGTAGAGAGACAGGGAGGAGCAGAGAGAAGTGGGGAGGAGGGAAATGGGGACCCTTACACTTGAAAAGAGATAGAAAGTTGATGAGTGGTGAGGAAAGGTACTGTAGGAGAGTCCGGGCCTCACACCGGGGAGTTGAGTGTGTGCGTCCGGGGGTGGCGCGCTGGGGCAGATTCTCTGCTTTAGGCTCCTGGTGATGGGCGGAGAGGGGCTGCGCTCTGCCCAGGAATCCCCTAGGACTTCCCAGTCATCTCAAACATGGTGTCAAAGGAGTCCGGGGACCCCTCCAGGGCACGGAGGAGCTCCCTCTGCGGGGGAAATGGCAGTGACTGGAGCTTGTAACCGCTGTCCTGCTCCACTTCTTAGCACCTCCTCGGACCCAAACCACCCTCCGCCAGCTTCCAGCCTCAATTTCACTCTCTGGGGCCGGTCCCTTCCGCTCTTCCGGAGTGCGATCCCTCCCCTTTCTCTTCGATGTGCTCCATCCGAACCCGCTGGGTCTGGGGTTTCTCGGTCCCCGCCGCTGGCTCCTCCCGGAGCGAGCTGCTTTCGAGGAGTCCAGGAAGCCTTACCCAGTCCCCGGCCGCCCCCGGTCTACCCCCTCGGCGCCCTTTAAAATTTTGGTAACTCTTTGAGACAAGGACTCTTTGGCTGCAAGATAAGTCATCCTAGGAACCGTAGGGAGATCAGAGAGGTCTTTTGCAGCCTCTTCAGCCCTTTATACAGCAGCTGGGATTTTGTTTCATTTTAAAGAGGTGAAGGAGAATGCACTTCAGTTGTGAGACGCACATTCTCTTTCCTGCCCAGAGAGCATTCCTGGCTCCCACCTGCTTCCTGCGACGCTCGCAGTTCTCCCCCAGCCCCCTGGGGAGGTGGGGTGTCACAATAGAGTCCCTCCAAACCACAAGTTTAGGAATGAATTTAGAAAGGCACTCTGTATGGCTGGTCAGGTGTCGGACGGGAATAATGATGGGCCAGACTTGGAAACATGGGGCGGGGCAGAGGTTGGGAGTACTGACAGCCCAGACACAGGGAAGAGGCAGCGTGGGTTACTGATGCAAGCGAACTCTATAGTTATTCCCCAGTTTAAATCCAACAAAAAGTCTGACATCGGTTCTGAGGCTATAAAACTGCAAACAAATGCACTCTTAAAAATATATGTGTTTCTAAAACGTGACTGTTTTCAGCAAATTGCTTCGGGGTTCAATTTTTGGTTTTGCCAGAATTATAAATGGGTAAATGACTCCCAATTTGGTGAGCCGTCCTGAGCGATTGGAAACTTTCTTTAATTAACTATGATGTAATCTATTTGAAAGAAAATCAAAATAAAGACACCCGTTAGTCCAGTTGTACCTGAGCCTCTTTTTGGAGGCGAGGTTGAGCCCGGCTGGCTTCTACAACCTCCGACCATCTAGGCGCACAGGTGAATCCAGAAGTTTCGTAGGAGGGCAACAACCGCTTATCTGTCTTTCCTTTTGGGGCAAAAGAGGGAACTGTCACCTGAAGGGCCACAGTGCACCCTCCTGACTGGGAAGTGGGCGTTCGGCTCCCAATCTCGCTCCCCACAGCAGCTCACCCTAGCTTGGAGTGCTGATCCGCCACGCCCTGCTCTGGCCTGAATAGGCCGGGTCCGCACGCCCGGGGTCAGCACTCAGGACACAGCAGGAGCCGAGGTGCCCACGGACCACCACACCCAGGCCAGATCGCGGCCAGTAGGCGCGGACCCCGGGGTCCACGCTCCCCATTTTCGCGCAGGTCTCGCTGTCCATCCTTGGACACAGTGGTTCTACGTTGGCTTCCTCCTGTTAGGGCATCTCCTGCAAGAGCACCTGTCGCGAGAGAGCGCTCCTTACGGCAAAGCCCGGGCTCCGCAGCGCGTGGCAGGTGGCCCACACTCCTGCGCGGGGACAGCCGCAGGAGACCAGCATGGGATCGCCAGTCCAGCCAATACTCGGAAACTCGACTCGTCCTGGCTCACCTTCCAGTAGCCACCTCCTGCCCCATGTACCTGCTCACTTCGACGTTTTTATTTTACCTTGGCCATGGGACTAGAAGAACCCTGATTTCCCCCACAAATTCAAGAGAAAATGACGACGACCTCTCTGAATCCAACAAAGCCCAGTAAAATGTTAATTATTTTTGAAAAGGATTATAGGAGCAGCGATTTTCCACATTTTGAATGAAGAGACTATGATTCCAGTTGCCGGAGGCTGCTTTCTGTTCACATTTCTCAATCTCCTCTTATTTGAAGCAGTTTTTAAAAACCTCACTGAAGTAAGGGTGTCCTCTGCACAGGAGTTTAAAGGAACACCGGGAATTGGGCCAGTGGGCATCGATCTTGAATTTAGGCAGGAAAACATTCCCCTCCCCTCAAATCCAAAGTGAAGGAAGAAAAAAAACCACAACAGTCTGTAGTTTAAAATACGCCCAAAGATTGGAGCATATTCAGTCTTTTCTGTATATCTGAAACGCTGTCATTTACACAAGGGTGGGATTTCACAGTCTGATGAGATCACCTCTTGTTTCTATGCTAAAGTGAAAATAAAACACAACTAAATTTTAAACCCCTTTACTCTCCCAGCTGTTCAAACCACCAGGACATGGACACCTCAAAGAAGTCAGATTTTGATTCAGAGTCTTGGAAAGGGGCTGCAGGTTGAAGGAAAAAACTGGGAGGAAAATCTCTCTTCTTCCTTCTCCCCCCACCCCACCCCCCTTTGTTTTAGGAGAAGAGACTGCAAATCAAGGAGTTAAATGTCCTGAAACTTGGGTCCAGTGGACAAATGTATCAACACCCCCAGAAAGATGAACTATTACCAATTGCATCTAATCTAAATACCTTTTAATTATTTTACCTAACTAAATGAGTAGAGAGGATATCAAAACTTTTTTTAGAAGTTAATTCCATGTAATGATAGCTTCATGAAAATTTATTGAGCTGCCAAGAGGGAGTTTGCCATATGAAAATTAAGCTAATTCCACCAAAGTTTCCTTTTAGTACGGGAAGTCTAGTGTGCAATTCTAATAACATCTAGAACTGTGAAAATAAAACTCGCCTTTATTCTCAAAGTTAATAAATGAAGTTAAATTACTTTTGAATGAATAAATGTTTCATGATAGCATCACAATGAAATTCTCTTCAGAAGGATTGCCTCTCATTTTTCTAAGCTAACTGATTTCATTACCTTCTGAATCTTTCTGTCTGCCTGTATCTTCTTATTCTGAAAACTGCAAAGAAGTAGCTTTATATAGGAAGGATGTATGAATAGAATTAGTTTGGAGAACTGACCTTCAGCCAGCCCAGGCCCTCCCTCGTCCATGGTTTATTTAGATCATTGAGTGCTGACATTTCATTCTTCCATTTTCTGCCAACCAAAGGGGATGAACACGGTGGTAATTTCATAGACTTTTTTTTTTTTTTGCCCCTAACCTCATCCTTGCCTGTTTTACAGAGCAAAGATGTGTTTGGAATTTGGAGAATAGTTGACAAGGTTTTGTGGCTTCAAACTATTAACAGTATTACTTGAAAATATGTCTGCAAAAGCCAGCTTTTTCAGGCATGGGGTGTTACTTAGTAATGGTATGCTAGTAATTAATGAGGAGTCTCAATAGTGATTTTATTTTTAAAAAATAAGGGAAAAAAGAAATTTCTATACTCTAAAACCTCACTGAAAAGCTAAGGGGAGGAATTCCAGTTTGACTTCATGAAAAACCAAGACAAAGAAGGTTCAGTTATTTTCCTACCAAATTTACTGTAGGTCTTAACAGTGTTTTCAAGTAAAAATTCTTCATGGTCTGACCTAATGACTAGATGAAACTACTTTATAATTATTGACATATATTTGATTATTATAAGAATGTTAAATGTTTCCTCCTTTATATTTTAAAGACGATTTTCATGTTATGCACGAGTCAACTTTAGCTTACATGAAATAATCACAGCTTTCTGAATTTAATTTTCTTTTGAATTAATGTTGACATTAATGTCCAGTTCTAAGATTGGAAGTATATTTAATACCATATTTGTCTTTCAGAATGAATTCTTTGTAATGAGTCCCTATGAAATGTGTAGTATAAAGATGTTATTATACAAATACAATTGACATGACCCACACCTTTAAAAATAATAACAAATGGCAAAAAAATAGAGATTTGGAATAGATGTGTGTAAAATATTTTGGTTTGTTTGAATTTTACAAGAGAGGAAAAGTTAGAAGAAAGTTTACATTTTCTGATGTTTACTTGGACACAAAGAGTTAAGTCAGAGAGCGTATATCAATTATTTATTACTGGGAAGAAGTTGTTTTTCATCTTTATTTGGCGAGAAAACTGTCTTTACTTGCCTTAAATTTGTAACTACAGGGGAAAAAAAGCCCTATTTTAAAAAAAGACACACAGTCTGGAGGTAGCCTAGAAACTAACACATAGAAAATACAGGGACATAGAGGAATTTACAGATTCAGAAGGTGGAAGCAGACTGAAGGATTTAAGCTGTTGACTTAGATATTTGACAGTATTGTTGTTGATCCATTCCCAAACTTCTGTTTATAAACTTCATTTTAGCAGGATACTAAAGGGATTAAAAGGAGGCCACAGCAGTAACAGACAGAAGGTGAAGATATCCATCTGAGTGTGATGTCCTGTCACATGCTTCACGAGGTCTTGAAACAGCTTCTCAGAAACTCTCTCATAGGAAGTTTCTCTTGGCAGATGTGGAAGAGTTTTCAGCAGCACTGCCTGCTAG